AACTGAACCCAAAAATTCACTGCCGAGGAAGACAGTTGTTAAAAGTGAGTTTTGTTCCATGTTACAACCTTTCTTGACACAGTTGTTAAGTGAATGACTGAAGCTTTTGATAACATGGCTGTTAAGTGAATCTGGCTTTCCCAATGACTTTGTCAGAAGATCACAAAAGACGGTCGATCACGTGACCCCAGGACGGAACATTTGCCGATGGCCAAGCAACTGATTTTTTTATCACATGGCCACAGGGTTGCTGCAACAGGCATAAGTGAAAAACACTCATGTCACTTTTTTCACTGCTGTTGTAACTTCAGTCACTAAACAAATGGCTGTAAATTGAGGACTGCCGAGGGGTGGGATTCAACTGGTGTTACTACCAGTTCGGTGACTACATTTTGCTACATGCGCGTGTGTAAAAAAAACCATCAGCTGAGCCACCCAGACAGCTGAAAAGCACTACGCACGGATGAGCAGCATTTGAAAAGCCTCTTTTTTCCTGCTTTTTCAACCTCATCTGCGAGATCCTTTTTCATTTTAAATAACTTATATGTCATTTAGGATTACATGTGTTAAGTGCTTCCTGGCCACACCACAAAAAGAGAGGGAAAAGAATGGTAATGGCATCCACATGAAACTAAGCCATGGTTTAGCATTAGATGCAAAACTTCATAATTTAATATAAGAAAACATATCCTCACTAAATCTTGCACATGTACTGTATATCCTGAAAAAAGTTTGGTCCTGTTTTCTTCCAGGCATTGACGAGAACCTAATCTGTATTAGCTTTAGTGAGCTTACTAAGTTATTTATCTTTTTTTTTTAAAGTTTTATTTGGGTTTTCACAAAAACAAAAGTTATCTTGATATCCTTTAATCCTATTAAAGTTCATTTTATTAACTTGAAATGGAAGAACTGCACAAGACTTAAAGACAAAGCACAGATCAGGTATTAACTTCATTAAAATCAGCAAGCCGTTTATACATTACATGAATACATTTTATGAAAGAGTCCTGTGGACAACTTCCAAATAAAAGAGTTCCCAGAAACACAGATGCAACAAATCTAAATCAAATTGTTGATTTTTGTTGGTACAAAAAAAAAATTGTGAACATTCACAACATTCTAAGACTGTTAACATGAACAAAGTGATTTTTTTTCTAAATATGGGGCTCGTGCCTAATTCTCACTCTTATTTTTATGATTACATAGCAAGTAATCTCAATAATTACCCAAATAAATTCCCATTTTAAGTCATTTTCCAATGAACCACCAGGATTCCTTAGGTGCATTTTAAAACTAGCTAGTAGGAGCAATGGTTGACAGATTGTACCCAAAGTTTTCTCTCTCCTGGTTTTACTTGACAGCTGTAGAAATGTCACCTTGAAAAAGCAGCAGCTGTTACAAATTATCCACTTAGCTGAGCAATCCCCTGAGTTTTAAAAAAAATTGTAAATGAAGGGACAAGACAGGAGTTCTCCTCACCTCTTTTTTTCTTCTTGGTGCTCTTTTGTTTCATATTAGTTCAGGTTTAGAGAGAGTTAATAATAGTCTTCAAAACATTCTCTTCCTAGAAAGGTTCTCATTGCACAATAATAAATAAAGAAACCAAAACAAAGTCACTCTATGCATATCCTCAATGACAAGCTCATCACTTAAATGAAATCCGTGACAGATTTCATCATAATCCCTCAAAGTAGTATGTTATTTTTCATTATCTCTTGGGGCAAGCTTTTACCTCAGCCTGAGTTTAAAAATGGGGTTGGGGCAGAGACCGGCATATTAAATAAATAAATTTTATATATATATATATATAAATGATATTCAGCTTTGTTCGGGTATTTTCCCACATCATTATAGTTGTGCTTTTAAAGCTGTAGCAACGTTTCAGCAGAATCTCATCTGCCATCATCAGGCTTCTGTATTGTGTTCATCATTTTCTTTCAATACAGAAGCCTGATGATGGCAGATGAGATTCTGCCGAAAACATACATACATACACACACATACACATACACAGCTGGTGCACTTGAAGAAAAAAAGGAAATTTTATGGAGTATCTTTTTTGTCTTTTTTTGTTTAATGACCAAATTTCTGTTACACAGAAGTGTCACTTTGAAAGAAGACAAGGACAAAATAAGGGACCATACTTTGTAGATTCAATGGTAACAAACTTGTGTGAAAAAAAAACTGTGTGTGTGTGTGTATTATATACATATATATATACACACATTATATACATATATATATACACACACACATATTTATCCCCTGCCACATATTAATCAAACACATCACTTATGTTCTCCATCTCCACAACCTCAGCAATTGTATACCACTGCTTTCATATCTTTCACAAGTTTTCAAACATTTTCACAACTTGTTTTCCTAATAATCTGGTTTTTTAAAACCAGTGTTTTTCCCCAAGCAGTAACCAACCAAAATTGGTTGTCATAAACAGATGAAACATGGTACAAGGGATGCTTTTTCTGTTATTGTCTCCAAATTATTTTCAAAATAATTTCAAAAATTATTCTTCAAAAATTTTCCTCGAAAATTATAGCAGCCCACATTGTTCTCTGAATGACTGAACATCTACCTCCTTTAGGAGGGATTTAAAAACAACAAGCAAGTAGTTTCTACTTCAGTTTCATTTGCTTTTGTATCTATGTGTAAATCAACTCCAGGGCTCAGCACCTCTCACTTAAAAAAAAGAAAAGAAAAAAGCTATTCAACCACAGATCGAAGAGAGAGTTCAACGAAGTGGCCATGCACAGACAATGTTCCAGCAACAGCAGCTTTCACACAGCAACAGATATCAAACATATTTTTGATGGCATTACCTGAATCTCTCATTGTGTCTCATCCATCCCTTTCTGCCTGATATCGAGCCAGGGAAACATTCAGCTGCTTGCAGGCTGGAGGCGACAAGCATGAAGCACAGTTGTGACAGAGCTTTGTTCCGGCTGCAGTGTATTACAGGAAGCCAGGGTTAGAAAGCAGCAGTAACAACAACCAACAAATTAGGCAATCTGAGTGGCCTTTTCAGCTAGGATATGCCCATATTTGGGAGCCAGAGGGGCACAGGAATGAGGAATATTCGCTTGCTTACAAAGATACCTCAATCTTCCTCACCAGCAGCCTCAGGAACAGGCAAGCTATGGCTACTACAGATTATGTGGCCAGAATATAGTTGCTTGTATATAGTTATGGGCCAACTTGCATAATCAGATGTTCTGCAATCATCACCATTCTCTAAGCAACCTAAGCTACCTTTTCCCTTAAAAAAAAAAAAAAAGATGCAAAGGGGTGGGGGGATGTTGAGGTTTCTGAAACAAAAGCCCTGTCCCTCCCAAGAGACAAAACACACAATGCTCCCCCCTTTTGGGTTGACCCGCAATGCTCATCCACCCCAGGCCCCCTGTTCTTTTTGCCTTGCCCTTGCAGTAATCACTTCAGCCTGTCGAGCAGGATCGCCCAAAAGAAAAAGACCTAGACATCTGCCTCTTCTCTTCCTATCTCCTCCTCCAGAAGAAGAAGGGAAAAAAAAGGGGGGGGGGGATTCTGGCTGGAGATAGAAAAGAGAAACAGACAACCTCCTCATCCTTCCCCCTCCACCACCACCACCCAAGCTGCAGCTGGGTCTTTTATAGGCAGCTTTTCTTGCTTTCCTTTCCTAATTCCCCCCCCCCTCCAAAAAAAAATAACAGCAAAAGGTTTCTCATAAGGGGGATGAGACGCTTTTAGCGTCTTTTCCCTGCCTGCTAAGAGACTAAGTGAAGAGAAAGGTTATCTTTTCACAGCTCCTGGCTGCAACCAAAGCTTACGCAGAAATATAAAGCTTTTTCTCCGCACCACCAAGTCCCTTCTCCGAGACACCCCTCGCCCGCTCGGTAGTAATTCAGACCCCTCCTGCCCACCCTAGCGTAGAAGACTCCCTGCAAGCTTCTTCTTTTTTTTTTCAGCATCCCTTTTATTCAATCGGGCTGCCTTTTGGCATTTTTTTTTCCCGGGTGGGGGGGGGTTCTTCTCCAGTCTATGAAACATTAAAAAAAACAACATGATCTACACAAATGAGGTTGAGTTTCCCTATGAAAAGAAAAAATCTAAAAACGAGGATGAGAACGAGGATGATGAGGATGACGACGACCAATTCCCCTACTACGCATATTTTACAAAATCCTCCAGGGCATTCTCTTGTATCAGGAGGGAGTCCTTTAAAACTTAACAAGACCTTCCAAAACCGCTTCCTCGACGCGCGTGCAACAGTTTGACTGCAGAGGCGAAGGGGTTAAACCTGGGGGGGGGGACAGGGGAGTGTGCCGAAAGAGTTCTCGTCTCAGCATTACAGTAATATGTATGTATGTATGTGTGTATGTATGTATGTATGTAGTTATGGGCCAACTTGCATAATCAGATGTTCTGCAATCATCACCATTCTCTAAGCAACCTAAGCTACCTTTTCCCTTAAAAAAAGATATATATATATATATGACACAAACAGACTCGGCGCGTGTGCGCAGACAGACGGCTCCCCGCGTGCGCCTGTCTGTCTGTCTGTCTGCCTGCCTGTGGAAATATTCCACCTCAGGTTAATTTCTCTCGCGCCCCACATAAGAGTGGGTGACACCCCTCCCTCCCCCTCCCGGCTATCCCGCAACCCTGAGAGCCGAAGAGGAGAAGCGGCTTGCGGATTTGTGTTGGTTTTTTTTTTTTAAATTTATTCCTTTAAAGAAAAATAAATAAGCCCCGCACGTTTTGCTTACATGGCTCCTCCCCATCCTCGCAGCCTCGCGCGCCTTCCCAGTTCCACCGTCGGCAGCTAATTGAAGACCAAAGCTGTGGGTGGCGGGGGTAGCAGGCGGGGGGGGGGGAGGAGAATGAGCTCCAAATGTGAAGGCGAGACACACGGGGGAGGCGTGGCGGTAAAGCTCCGCCCCTTTGGTGTCCCAGCCCCGCCCCCTTGAGGAGAGGGGCTTGGTATTGTATTTCTTTTTGCACCTCCCGAGTGTGCAAAAATCCCTCTTCTTCTCTCCGAATTCCTTTTAGCGCTCGATGTGTTTGCAAAAAAAGGGAGGCCGACCAAAGGCGGTCGCTGCAAGACAAATGCCGGCGTTAACCGAGCGAGCCAGGCGGGGATGTGGTCAAAGCGTCCCAGTAGTAGTGGTCTGTCGGCTTCACACGACCCACATGGTGGTTTATGGCATATGGTGGCTTAGAGACCACTTCTTGAGATACGTGGGGTTATTCTGGGTTATCCTCTGTGCGCGCGCCCGCCTAGGTAGGGGATGGGAGGGAGGGTGAGGCTGCTCCAGGAAAAACAAGCTTTTTAAATACTAAAAACAACAACTCCTCTGTATTTTTCCAAGGAATACATTAGATTCGTTCCGGGGCTAAGAGCGGAGCCCGGGAGATCCAGGGGAAATTAATGTCGCGATTCAATTGGATTCCATCTCCCAAACGCATAAGCTCGGTTGCTGTTTCTTTTTTCTGCCCCGTTTGACTGGTGCCTTTTTACTCCTCGCCTATCTGACACATAGAAATCCAACAGGTGATTATTATTATTTTTTATACTGCAGAAGTAGAGTGTAGAGCTGCATTCGGTGCTGGAACAGCAAAAATAAAAACAAAATGTTGTTTTTTTTAAAAAATAAAGATACTAGCGGGCATATCTCCTGGGTATTTTTCTCTGGAGTGTTTTTCAATGTTGGCTGAGCTGCAGTAAAGTTTATTGTAGTGCCAGTGTCCTTGCTCACCCTTCACAAAGTTCTCTGAAAGTCACATACTTCTGATTTCCAGCTGGTTCTTGGCTTGAACTGATTTCTTGCTGTTTTCCTTTTAATCCCTAATTAGCTGTATTTGCAACAAGTAATGCAACAAGAGCCATTGATCTTCATTATCTCCATTCTAAAAAAAAGCTGCTTCCTTTTGAATTTCAGGTAGCTACACACCATCACAGATCTCCTTGACCCTGCCAGCAGCCTGGAATTCTCAGTAATCGGTGCATCATTTAATTTTAAACATTATAACTGAGTCCCTGAAAATCTCCTCTGTTATATCTGCCTTAATTAAGCAAAAGCACAATGCTTAATATCCAGAAAATATATATCCATTATGTTAAGTTTGGAGAATAAGGAGACCAGACATCTGACCAGTGACTTCAACTCTTTAATAATAACAGTAATAGAATAGAACAGAGCAAACTCTATGGGCAGCAGTAACCCTTTTATAGGGTTGGCTGCTGCCCTATTAACCAATAGTCTTTGCGATAAGTTCAAATAATAACCAATAAGAAGTGGCCTCATCCTGACCAATCCTCGTTCGTTGTTTGAGGACCAATCAGGTGTGCAGGCCTTCAAAACCTACTTTGCATTTTATATTAGTTACTTTATTGATTCATAACACATTATTTAACTGTTTCAAATAACTTTTTAAATTGCTGTTTCAAAATATTAAATTGCACAAGTGTATTAAAATTATGATTGTTAAACATGCAATCATTTTTTATGCTAGCAGAAGATGCTATGAATATCTGTGTGGGAAATAAGGTTCACTATCTTCAGTGGGATATATTCTGTATATATACACAGGTTCAGAGGGAGGAAGACCCAGCAGACATAGTAGGGAACATAAAACCACATTGGATTTGTTTACATGAATGAGGGTGAAAAAAGCTGGGACATCTGGAAAGATAATAGTTGCATCAACATACCATATGAAAGAAGCAACAGATATTGACATATATGGACTGGAAATTAAGAAAAAAGTTTCAGAGTTTGAAACAATTGCATTGGTGCCCTGATACTACCCACACTTTGTGAATAAATTTGTTAAAGTACACCTATTTCAGAAAATAATATGAGATATGGTTCACTTGACATAATTGGTATTGCTTGCATCAGTCCATACTGATGAGATGCGTGCTTGCAGTGACTTCACCGGGCCTGTTTGAGTCATTTATCATAGTTCACTCAGAACTCATATCTGATTTGTGTACTTGTCTAATCCACGTGATGAATTGCCTCTGAGTTTATAACCCCCTTATTGCTGTACAGCAGAGTCCATAAAATTTCATATACAGGCCATAGTATAAAAAAATAACCTTGGATTATATTTTCCATTTTCTTTCATAAAGATAAGAATGGGGAACTTTTT